TGAATTGCTCAAGCTAATAACATGCGAACAAAAAACATTTGAACGATGAGCTTACAAAGCCCAGTAGTATAATCGCTAATCTAAAGCATCATTATGAGTCTAATAAACATAAGCATGTCAAAAACATGGTACTAAGCAGTAGGTACATGCATGATCTTAATCAAGTACCACCTACTCAATGTTTAAATATTCTATCACTGAAGTAGGAGCCTCGTGCTTCCCTTAATCCTCTTCTAAGGTCCTCACCGTGAGTATACCTCTATTAGGGCTCTACCCACATTGACTGTAACTATTTTTCATTATCTAAATGTGACACTGACTCTGTTGTGAATTATCTAAATGCAACACTGCTATTATCTGGTCTCACATAGCTATCAGACACTATTCAACTGAGGGAACCCAGTGTCACATAACATCGGTACAATTCCCATTCAACTGAAGTATTTGCTCGATCTCACATAGCTATCAAGCTAAGCTTTAAGGATTATATTTTACTGGATTAGTGCAACTATACATGCATAATTAAGGGCCTAAAGCTGCATAACACTGACAATGTCCTACTAGGGCAACTAAGGTAGCATGACTACACTCTAGCATAGCTAGACACACTAAAGTGAGATCACCCTTTCACTAGCTGCTTTCTCGCTCATTCTCTTACCTAAAATGTTATGCAAGGGTTTATTAGTCTCTTACTTATGTTAGTTTATTAAGCGACTCTATTCCAGTTATTCGATACTTAAAGGTGTTTTAGTCATCCTCTATCACTAGAGAAGTCTCTATGTGTTTCATGATTTTACAATGATTATTGTGTTTGTTGTCTAAAACACTAATTAGCTTGATAACTGACTCGGGTTTATTACTGGGCAGCGACACTCTAATCGCTCTTATCGTATTTTTCTTCAAAACCCCTTAAATTGGAATGATAACATATGTTCTCAATTCACTGACATTCTTGAAGCACACGATTTCCGCTATTACTGAATATAAATTACTTATTGTACCGCTTGTCAATACATTCTCTACAACAATCCTCATTCTTAACTATTTGATATGTACTCGACTAAAGATACTTGGACATATCACGCTTAGTATGGTTACTTCGGTTGTAACCCACTCCTATGAGTGTTTTTAAACATCTTTGGTCATTTATGTCCCTATAGACTAAGTTCCACCATTACAGATCATCCTTAGCTCTTATGAACTTTAAAGAAACAAATTTAACCATCCAAAGTGGGTAGTATCGATACTCTACTTAAAGTATTGATACCCTATGGTCAAGTATCGATACCGTATAAGTATCGGTACCAAAATGACTTCTGTTGCTGAAAATGTGGCCAGTTATGACTGAAGTCATAGGCAAGATAAAAATCGATACCATGTACCCTAAGTATCGATACTGTAGGGGCAATATTGATACTATCAACTGGAAATCCCCAAATTTTGTCCCAATTCATCCAATATTGATATTGTTCATCTAGTATCTCTACTTGAACCTAGAAATATCTTATTTAGGCTAGAAAAACACCCAAAAATCATCCCAAATGTCTTAGTTTGGTTCCTAATCATGTGCTAAAGCTTTTGAAGGTTACTTAGGGCCATAAAGTGGCATAAAAACACATGTTTTACATCTAAAATGTCATTTAATTGTGAAATCAATCATAAACCCTAAAAGGCATAAATACACAAATCTTAGCAATTTTACATGCTTATGAAAGTCTTAACTCTCCAAAGGATTAGAAATACACTACCTTGGTGTTAGAATCCCGAAATGAAGCTCCTTTAACCACCCAACACTCTCCTCTAAGTTGGATGATAAAACTCCACTTTCTCTAGAAAAATAAGAAATCCAAAGCTTGAATCCTTAAAACAATGTTGTTGGGAGAATTATGGACGAAAATGAAGCTTAAAAGAAGTATGAAATGGCTCAAAGGACTTACCCTTAGCTATGCACTTGGAGAGGAAGAGAAGGGAGAAGGGAGAAGGGAGAAGGGAGAAGGGAGAAGGGAGAAAAGAAGGGAGAAGGGAGAAAGTGAAGAGAAGAAGACGAAATGAGATATAATATCTCTCATCTTTTTAAAAATGGTTTAATTACAATTTTGGTCATTCTCATCTTTTTATAATTCAAAAATCCCTTTTTATGGTTAATTGGGCTCAATCCTCATTTAGTTAAGCTAATACTCATCCCAACAACTTCAATTATGAAATCCTCGAAGCCCACATACCTCTCGGGTAAACCTGAAACTACTAGCCCTGAATTTGAAGTATTACTATTGATATTGTTCATCTAGTATCTTTACTTGAACCTAGAAATATCTTATTTAGGCTAGAAAAACACCCAAAAATCATCCCAAATGTCTTAGTTTGGTTTCTAATCATGTGCTAAAGCTTTTGAAGGTTACTTAGGGTCATAAAGTGGCATAAAAACACATGTTTTACATCTAAAACGTCATTTAATTGTGAAATCAAGCACAAACCCTAAAAAGAAAAAATACACAAATCTTAGCAATTTTACATGCTTATGAAAGTCTTAACACTCCAAAAAATTAGAAATACACTACCTTGGTGTTAGAATCCCGAAATGAAGCTCCTTTAACCACCCAACACTCTCCTCTAAGTTGGATGATAAAACTCCACTTTCTCTAGAAAAATAAGAAACCCAAAGCTTGAATCCTTAAAACAATGTTGTTGGGAGAATTATGGACGAAAATGAAGCTTAAAAGAAGTAGGAAATGGCTCAAAGGACTTACCCTTAGCTATGCACTTGGAGAGGAAGAGAAGGAAGAAGAGAAGGGAGAAAAGAAGTGAGAATGAAGAAAGTGAAGAGAAGAAGACGAAATGAGATATAATATCTCTCATTTTTTTTAAAATGGGTTAATTACAATTTTGGTCATTCTCATTTTTCTACAATTCAAAAATCCCTTTTTATGGTTAATTGGGCTCAATCCTCATTCAATTAAGCTAATACTCATCCCAACAACTTCAATTATAAAATCCTCGAAGCCCACATACCTCTCGGGTAAACCTGAAACTACTAGCCCTGAATTTGAAGTATTACAAAGATAAAATTATCATTGATGATCGGGATTGTGCATGAAATCCTCATTCAGTTGTGCATGATATTGCTCGTGGTAATACATTTCTGAGCAAAGTTGGCACTTATGATAACCATGTCGATGCGAAGACTAAATCCAAGCTTAGGAAAAATTTGGATTCGGTCGATGTTCATTACTAAAGATTACCCCTTGGAGGGGTATTGTGGAAAAAGTGAAGAACTTGTTCGTTGAAGTGAAGAATTATTTTTTATTGACTTTGGATGCCACATCGAATTTGAGTTTTTATCTTGAAACATTTTCACTTTCAGAATTCACGTCACGGTAGAGATTTATTAGAGTTTGACTCGAATTCAAAGAGACATAAATTAATTAATATTTAATTGAGAAAATAAAAATTTAGTTTGATTAAAAGTAGATAACTTTATATACTAAAGGTAAAGGATTAAATATCATGTTTTTATTTCCCCAAAATCTTCTTGTACTTTCTTCCTTCGTATTAGTGAATTTTTTCTTCTCTACCTGTGATTTTTTCATGTTAGATTTATTACATAAATTTTAGTATTATTTATTTTTCGATATTGTTTATCGATAATAGTTTCAATATTATAACGTGCAATGTCATTGTTATGACATGTAAATCTCTTTCCGTGGATAGCATTTTACTTGCTGAATAAACTATTTTCTGATGCCAAGGGCAAAGATATGGTTGAATTTTGAAGCGAAAACCACCGTATGCACGATAAAGTATTGCATTATATGATACAGGTGTGAAATACTTTTGATTGGTGGTGCACTATTGCTTTGGAAATACATTGTGGATACAGGAGACAACCCACTGTGCTAACTCATGGGCAGCGCGAAAGAGGATGACAATCTGATTAGCTACTTTCACGTGTTTACTTCTTGCACTGCCTGCCTTTTAGTTTAAGAAGGACATCTTCCCATTCGCAAGAGCAACATGCTACAAATTAATATATGCAGGAGAGGTCAGTCAGACAACCTGTTTATTTATTGTTCCTATTGGTACATTTCGAGGCTCCTTGAATAACTTGCATTCAACCGTCTCTCAATCAAAACAACGCATCATTAAATATAAAACCTGAAATTTCAGTCCACCAAGGACCTCCTTTGACTGGCCTATTCGGGTCGGGTTCGGGATCCTTTCTTATCTCGTTGCAAAGTCAAAAATCATGATTAGATGACAGTTAGAACAAACAAGAGCGGCAGCGGCAGATTTTCATAGCTACAGAACATATAGAAAATCAACCGTCCATCTAAAGAAAAGAAAAATGGAAGGGTGTGGTCCAAACCAACAGCTTAGCATGTTACATGTTTGGTCCTCATTAATACAAATCAAAATCCAGGTCCCATTACTGCCTTCCTTTAACACGCTTTTAACAAACAAACAAAAGTAAGATTAAAAAACTAATCAAACCCTAAATAAGCAAGCATCAACTAAAGCTAATCAAGTAGTATATAAAAAGAAAACCCCACTCACCGCCTATCTTTCATCACCTTTCAACTTCCAACAAACAAACCCTTTTGTAAAAGCCACCACCATCGATGACGGTGACATGACCCTCCCTCCTCTGCTCATCTATTTGGCTGTGTTTTTTTTGGTGACCACAAGCAAGGCCATAAGTAACTAACTATACTTGGTTCTCTCATGCCTCTGTATGACTGTATCTCACGTCTCACCCTTATCTTCTTATCTACTTTGTTTGGTTTTAGCAGCTAAACAAAATATATGGACACACAAACTGGTAGGCTATTGCCCTTGTTTTTATTTTCCGTACCTATCCTCTAACAATCTCGTGTACCACGGATCCATCATCTCTTTCTGATTTTCCCTGCAAATAAATTGATTTAAATACTAGACTGTAATATATAACCTAAACAAAAAGCACAGCTGATCAAGAACTCAACATGTCATAAACTAAACTTGTATTCCCAAAGCAAAACATTCATAACCTTATCAAACAGAGAATCAATCCATTTTCCTTATTGATTCTATTCCTCGGGCACTTTCTATTTCATGAGAGAATCAAAAGACAAAAGTGAAAGAAAAACAAGTGGCGACTATAAACAGTTGTAGGCTTAGTGGTTATGGTAAATATTATAATGTTCAATCCTCATCAGAAGTTTCGGGGTACTTGTTCAAATCAGGTTTCCGGAAAACTCGAGAAAGGATGGATGATTCCGAAGATGAAGCAGAAGCATGATGAAGCGAAGTTTCCAAAGCGTCGACTTTAGCCCCCACCTCGGTTGCTTTCTTGCGTATGGAAGCGGCGGAGATATCCCGGAGGTCGTCTTCTTGTAAAACGAGGTCAGGGAAGTTGAGCCTAGCGGAAGGGCCACGCAAGTAGAAAACGGCGGTGTCGTAAGCACGAGCAGCGGCTATAGGGGAGGTATAAGAACCGAGCCAAATCCTAGACCTCTTGTTGGGTTCTCTGATTTCAGCAACCCACTTCCCCCACTTCCTCATCCTTATCCCTCTGAATGGTTTCTCTTGCTGCTGTTGCCTACGCAGCTTTCGCTTCTCTCCCTTTGTTGAACTCGAAGTTAAACAACAATCACCCAACTCCATCACACAAAAGATTCCTAAAACTAAATGGAATTATTTTTTTCCACTTGTTCTGGAGACTAAAACTTGTAAGCCATAAGAAGAAGAAGAAGAAGAAGGGAACAGATTCTAGCTACGTTTAATCAAAGAATACCCTTTACTTCAAAAGCTATTCTATATTGAATATATACAAGTATGATGTATAATAAATATATATATGATAGGAGAGAGAGAGAGAGAGAGAGAGAGAGAGAGAGAGAGAGAGAAGTTTTCCGCTTGGCTGCTAGTCTGTCGACTGGGCACGGCCGCCACGTTAATGGATCTATCTACCTTTACATAAATCCAAATTGGGCCGATATAATCCATCACCTCCAATATTCCTTTTCTCTTTCTAAAAAGCCTACAAATTTTATGTATGATTTCTCGCGGTTATCGGCTTGTAATCGTAGGCATGTGAGCAGCCGACGTGATTATACTCCTAGCAAACTAACCTCCTTGCTTATTTCTATGTTTACCCTTTATTTATTTGTCCTTTTTTTTTTTCCAACTTCAACCATGCTTTTAATTCTTTATTTAACAATCATCCATAACAGGTCGGCATATCATATAAATTAATTTGACCTACTTACAAATTCTTCGCCCGAAAAAACCCTACTTAATGGTTAATTTCATATGGTATTCATAAAGCATTTTGTACTCATAGAGAAAGCCACACCTTTATACATAAGTCACCACTCTGTTCCAACTCTCTTAGAGTTCTAAAATCTATCTAAATTATCATTACTCTCAACACTACTATATGAATATGTGCCAACAGTTTTCAGTGATATTTTTAACAGAAATAACTGGATAATTTTGGTTTGTTTTGTTGACAGGATATAATATTGGGTTAGTAATTCGGCAAGCCAAGTGGGATCTAAGTTGAGAAAGAGAAGGGGATGGGGATATGAGTGTGAGTGTGACTTTCCGTCCACGCAATAAAGATCATCGATGGTTTCGGTTTGGGAATCTTTTTGTAGTGGAATTACCAAACTGGTTTAATTACTACGCTTCAAACCATGTCCTTTTTGGGTGTCAAATCTCAATCTTAATCATCCGATTATTGCATTTTTGTTAATTTATCATTTATTTTAAAAAGTTGGTGTCGCTGTAATTATTTTCCATATTTTCTGACTTCTGAGTGCTTAATCCATCATGTGGAAGTGGAACCTCTTCATTGGTTCTTTAAGTTTCAATCACTACAGTAAAAAGATTTGTAGTGGTGGATTTAGCTATTTTTTTACATATAGCTGTGTTTTAGACAAACACTGCTATATCTTAATATATATTGGTTAGCGTCGTTTAAGAAAAAACGTCGTTATTTTATATATATATAACGGTGATTTTAGATAAACACCGCGATATCTTAATATATAGTGGCGTTTTAAAAAAACCGCTAAAAACACGTACTGACGGCTGAAAACTGAACTTTAATAATGATAATTGAAATAATTAAAACAAAAGATAAAATGCTTTTGTACCATGAAGAATTACTATATTATAATTGTCCTTTTAATTATTGTAATTAAAAGATAAATATCGCTATTTAAAATTAATATAAAACTTTTCAGATTTATATATATTTTTTCATAAATTTAGGATAAATATTAGGCAGTGTATGTTCAATGATAACTCTTAAACATTTAATAATGATCGTTTATACCACTAACATATGCGATGTTTAAACTAAATTTGAGACCTCAAAAAGATAACAACAAATTCTTCAACCATTGAGGTCACTTAGTTCGTGTTTAGATTTATACATTTGAATAAATAGATAAAAAAATGTGAAATTTAATATATAAAACTATATTGTGAAACTTATTATTTCTAGGTAAAATAAAACGAAATGATAGTAAAATCGTTGATTGCATTTTTTAAAACCAAACAATCTCTAAAAGCATTAACAAATAGCTCATTGATGAATATTAACTGTCGTCTTCGTCCTCACTCCATGGATGCTTCAATAGTCGTCCTCCTCACTCCATTGATGCTGCAATTGTCGTTATCCTCGCTCCATTTACGCTATAATCATCATCCACTTCAACATCCCACTCATCTTCTCCCTTATCAACTATTAGGGCTTTAAGAAAAAAGTTATATCTTATTTTTAAATCATTTTTTAATTTAAAATTTAATCATTAAAAAATAATTTAATTTATCCACATCATAACGTTGTTAGATAGTTAACGGCAGAATAACTAAAAAAATTCAATATCTAAAGTACGTGTATAGATGCAAGCAAAACTGGCCAACTATTTAATTAATAAAATACGTGGAAAGAACTTGTATAGTTAAGTTAGTATCATGTGCTTCACCTCACTCGTTTTTGTTTATTCTTTCACCCTTAAACAGAATGCTTTTCATATATGTTTAGCCGTCGACTATTTAAATACCGAACTTTTTCAGCTGCAGTTCAACAGAAACATATCTGATATACTTCCTTTTCCCCCTTATCTTGTCGAGTTCTTTTCTTTTTTTGGACTTGTGGTGGAAGGTTGGTCCACCTTGTTAAAGAGAGAACAAGTCACAATGACCTGAATATTAATGGGCGTAAACAAGAAGATAATGGGTAGTGTGTACTCGAAATGACAAACTAATAGTATGTTTAGGCATGTCCCGGTATTCTATATATTATTCGCCATATTATTCGCCTAATTATTGCCATATTATCACCCTCAAATAGTTGTATTCCTTATTCATCTTCTCCTGTCCAACCAAACTTGAGGCTAAACTAAAGGATTCTTGATATTTCTAGTTTAACTTAAGGTTACTGCACCAACATTTCCATCAGCCAGAAAAAAAAAAGTAATTAAACTACTTCGTTCTGGGTAAAAAACAACGGGTATAGTATTTCAACATAGCAAGGCAACAGAAATTTGATCTAAATAACCTAGAGAATCTCCAATGAAGTGACAACAGATATGTGCTTTGCTTGTACAAGCCATTAGATAATTTGAAGCTTTCTATAAACAAAACAAATAAATTAAAATAAAATAAAAAAATTACTCAGCAACCATCCACAGATCAAAGTTCAGGAAACACGTACCGAGTTGTTTATGAAACAGGCAATTATTTTAAACCCATGACAGTGTGTAGGAAGGCAGGATTTCATGTTAGGGGTGCAAAATATTTAAACTAATCCCAGATCAAATTATTCGGAGAAAATGTGAGGCTATTCCCACTTTGCAACCACATCGAGCAAATTCCACAATTCTCTTATTCAAACAAGCAGCAAAGTTGCAAATACCGAGACCGAAAACAACCCACCATCCTCACTCCTAGTCTCCTATTAGGCACCACCAAGATTTTATCCATAACCTCCCAATTTTGCATCACAATCCAAGGCACCCACAAATCAGCATTTGCCATCAAATCCCTACAACAACAGTCCCCAAATCCACCTCCCTTGCTCTCCTCATCATATCCACAAAGGACTTATCATCCGAAACCAAAACCAACTAATCAATCCCTCTAGTCATATAATAGACATGTTAATCACTTGTCCGAACTTTAGTTTCGATGCAGTGGTTTGTTAAAGACATCAATGTAGGATTTTATGTTAAGGGATGATCTTATAAAATTTTAGGGTGAAAATATATTATCAACATAACAAAGACAGAGACTTTCTTCTGTTTATCAGTTTCATTTAAACCCTTATCCTCCTCACAGTGTAATCAAATTTTAAGCCCTGATTCAAATTCAATCATGCAATGCATACATTTTAAACATGGGAGAAAAAAGAGATGACATTTAGTGTTCTGGTTCCATCATGGCATAGCAAGTAGAGAAAATCATAGGTAACGAAAGCATCTTTGACAACCGACCTCAGCTACTCAACTATAATTTCACATGTCCTTGTAGGAGCTTTAAACAAAATGTGGTCAAGTAGCTAAATGACATGTAATAGTTCCACCATTTCTGTTGACCAAGCATATGACTAGAGAGTCTGCGGATATTTCCGGGCTTGCTGTTGAACTCTTTTCTGGTATTCATTTGAGTTCTGTATTGGCCAAGATTGCATATCGGTACAAGGAAAATAAAACCATATAACAGACTATTAACATCAATAGAAATTATTAAAGGGTAATGCTATTTACCTGTACATAAAGCCGACATACATCTTGATTTGCAGGGGAGCTTGGATTGGGTTGATCAAGAAAATCTTGAATGCCCACTAGGATTTGCTTTACCGTAATGGATGGTCTCCACCCCTTGGAGAGAAACAGGGTTTACTTTGGCAAAATAATATGAATTTACATCAAAGGTTGGTCTAAAAAGTACTTACCGCGTTCAGGATAGACAGACACACATTTCCTGAAGCATAAACATTAGGGTGGAAGAAACCATTTGGAAACTTGCATGTAGGTGGTCTGCTAGGGTAGTCCTCGCAGAAGATAAGAGTAAGAGGATAGTAGCCACCTTCCCAGTCAGTCTGAAAATCGGAAAAGAACATTACAGATGGAAAAACATTAATAAACTTATGCTATCTTGTATCTTCCCAGTTATGCTATCTTCTCGTATATAAGCATATTAAAGAAACTATAGCACATAATGATATAGCATATAAGTGCATAACATTTTAATACTTTTAGGCGACTACGTAAATTCTCATTGAATAAAATATTTTCTTAGTTAAGATGAAGCCGTCAGTATCTGAAACTAAGCATTGTCAAGCCTTCCAGTGCTAGATGTACATTAAATGAACAAAGTGAATAGTATTAGAGCAAAAATAGAAAGGCCAAATTTGTTTGTAATTAAGACGAAACAAGGCAGAAACTATTTAGACACGACTTTACAGCTTCTACTCAAATTAAATATCTCAACATAGTGATTAACTAATAAACAGCCATATTCCAGTACAAATAGATCCCAGATTTGCAAACATAGAACAAAACGTCAAAACCCAACAAAAGAAAATTTTCAAAGGTCCAAGCTTTGATTAAAAAAAAAGGATACTTTGGCAGTGTAAAGAAGTAAAGACTGACCCCTATTTTGCCGGGGATAATGCAATGCCAAATCATCAAATTAACATACCCGTCTGGCTTTATCTCAGGCTTAGCCACAAAACCCTTCAAATCAGCAACGAAAAGTAAATAATATATAATAAAAATATATATAAACACTATAAGGGGAGAAGAATGTTGTTACATGGGGATGATTTTTGCGCCAGGTTTTACGTTCTTCCGCAAGACGACTACGTGCAATGCCACCCGACATAGCGTTTCCTAAAGAGTTTATAAGAAAGAAGGTTTTTTTAGGGGTGTTCTTGAGATTTTAAGATCTCTCTGTCTTGCCTAGCAAGCTTTCTCTGTCGAATGCAGAGATTTGAGTTGAGTTTGGTCTTTTTAAAGCCGACTGCGAACGTTTGTCTCTTATAAACGTGACTCTTTCTCTACCCTTTTTTTCTTATTTTTATCATGAAAATTATCTATGTTCAAAATCCAGAAAAGATACTCATGTATGATTTTCATACCCAAGCCCATTACACTGGAAATCAAAGCCCATACGATATGCAACGAAATGGATGGCCTCGATTCGGCTTCACGAAATACATCATGTCTCTTTCAACAAGATGGAGCCTGTTGGGATTATCAGCGGCTGGTGATTTTGGAAGAGGAATGATGTAGAGGTGAACTGAGGGGTCAGCAGATTCCATGCAGAATGCAAAACTAAATTCTGTGTCTAATCAATTAATTAGATCACAAAGCTGATAAATTAAGATGACAAATATCATAATTATCTCATTTTGTTTATGAGATACTACAAACACATATGATTAAAATAAATTAGAAAAAAATCAAAACTCGAAATTAATGTTGAAGAAAAAAAAAGCAAGAATTTGTAAATTAGAGTCGCGGTTTGAAAATTTTAAAAATAAAAAACATAAATTTAAAATGAAAAAAAATCATGACTCGGACAAATTATTATTGGTAGTGCAAAAAATAAATCAACCCATCTGAATCAATTTTATTATCTACAAATAAAAAATTAATAAAAATCAACTGTTTAAGTTTATGTGTTTATCAATAATTAATTTTTTTAACGGCTGCCAAAAGGGTGAGCGGTGGTGAAAAACTCTGTTCATATTCGTATGTATTAAATTGATGTTTTATATTTTAGCATTTAGTTTTGGGGGAGATGGAACTGCTCTGGGTGCTCGATAGCAGGTCTAATGGGTTCTTAGATTTGCTTTCTCGGTGCTGATCGTCGGTTGTTTCCTTCTTATTTCTTCTGGTTTTGTTTCTTTGTTTCTCATTTTCATGGAATCTTTGTCCTTTGAGTTGGATTGGCGAAAGCTCTTTTGCGGATCTAATGAACAATCCCTAGACTTTTTTGCTCCTGAAATTCTTGAGGGGATCCCTACTGTTAAACCTCCTCCTGGCGTAACTAATGAGGGTATTGCTGAATGGGACCGCGCGGTGGTGGGGCAGTTTATTGGTGATGCTCCAAACTTTGGATCCATGTAGAGAATTATAGAGATTTTATGGGGGAAGTCATCGAAAGTTAAGGTTAGTTTGGCTGGGCATAATCTCTATGTATTTTCATTTTCAAATTCGGATTTTAGAGATTGGGTGCTTGAGAATGGCCCTTGGCACATTCAAAATAAGCCCCTCGTGCTTCGGAGGTGGGAACCGAATTTGAAGAAGCTTGATTTTGATCTTAAGCGTATGCCTGCCTGGATGCATTTCTACAACGTTCCTTTAGAACTGTTTTCTAGGTTGGGCCTCAGTTATATTGCCAGTGCTGTGGGGATTCCATTTTACATGGATTCAATTACTGCTTCTAAGGAGAGGCTCGTATTCGCCAAAGTTTGTGTTGAGGTTGAAGCTGGGAAAGTTATTCTTGAGGTTATTCATGTAGCTCTAAGGGATAATTCTATAGTCAAAGTCAGAGTTTATGTTCCATGGCTTCCTAAATTTTGTTTGCAGTGTAGATCTTTTGGGCATCTTGTTAGTAATTGTGTTGAAGTCAAGAAAGGCCCCTCGAAGAATAAGGAAACTGTTTGGAGGAAAAAGAAGGCTTCTATTATCTCTGGTTCTTCTGTTAAGGAGGGGTTATTGGATCATCTGGCTCTGTTATGCAGAAGATTATACCTAGTGAAGAGGTATCAAAGGATGCTAAGTTGTTGGTGGGTAATGCTGAGATTTTAATTGTTCATGCTCTCCAGGAAAATAGCTCTAACTCACTGCATGAGGGAAATGGATGTGCTATTGACCGATCTCTTTGTCCTGGTAAAGAAGTTCAAGGTGATACTCCTGAGCAGCTACCTGTTCATGCCCCTCAGGATAGTATTAAAGGCCATCTACAAGATTCAATGCCAAATGTTCAGACCTCGAAGATGGGTGATACAGTTGTTATGGTAGTGGAGACTTCAAATCAGAATATTACCACTGGTAGTGAGGAATTATTGGAGGATGCTGGTAAAACCTTTTCCAAAGGGTCTGAGATAAGTTCTAACTGTGGTGGTGGAGAGTTTCCATCACTGTAAGACTCCCTGATTCATAAAAAGAAGACCAGGGGAAAGAAAAAAGATAACACTGGTTCATCTAGTAAAATGGAGGTAATTGCTGGAGGTGATGCTATTGATGGACCTAGGAAGGCTCGGGTTGCTTCTTTGGGGGTTGCAATGCTCCTCAATGAAATCAAAGCTAAGAAGAATGATCATATGGATAAGGTTGATGTCAATAGAGGTGGCCCTTCTATTTCTAATTAATGATATTTAGTTTTTGGAATGTTAAGGGGATAAATAATTGTCTCAAGTTAGGTAAGGTGATGAGGAGGTTGGAGATGCTAAGAGTTGATGTGATATGCTTTATGGAAACCAGGGTTAGAAATGCTATTTTTTCTAAGATTATTGCTCCTTTGGCTGTTGAATGGAATTGTGCTACTAACTATGATTTTTCTGATCGGGGTAGACTCTGGGTGTTATGGAAAAAAGACTTACCCTTCACTGTTTTAAAGAGTTCTGATCAAGCTCTATCAATTGTAGGGGATGTGGCTGGTCATAGTTTGGTTATTACTGCTGTCTATGGCAGTAATAGTGGTCTTGATAGAAGGGATCTATGGGAACATCTGAAGACTTTAGAAGCTGACATTGGTCATTCTTCTTGGATAATTGGGGGGACTTCAATATCATTGCCAATGACCAGGAGAGTTCTGACTTTGGAAATTTGGGATTGCATAGTACCCCTGATATGGAAGATTTTAAGAGCTGCTTGGTGGATTTAGAATTACTGGACCACCCTTTTTCTGGTCCATTGTACACTTGATCTAATAAACATGGGGACTCATTTCTGGCTCGTAAGCTAGATAGAATTTTAATTAATTCTCAATGGCTGCTGGAATTTCCTGATTCTGCTATGGAATTTCAAGCACAGGGAGTCTCTGATCATTGCCCTGGGATCATTTGGACTCAGAAAAGTGCTTAAGTCCATAGGCCTAAGCCTTTTAAGTTTTTCAATTGTTGGACTGCTCATGAGGGATTTCTAAGAGTTGTAAAGGATTCATGGCAAGAACAGAGCGTTGGCAATGCTATGCAGGTTCTATTCAACAAAATGAAAAGGCTTAAGCCTTTGTTGAGGGAGTTTAATAGGAGTCACTTTTCTGATATTTCTGGTAGGGTGGCTGGAAAGAGAGTAGAACTTGATTCTATCCAGCTTCATAATCTTGCTAGTGTTGATCAAAGGAGACTTGAGGAGGAGGAGAGAATCCAGGCAGATTTAATTGTTTTAGAAGCTGCTGAATTTGATTTCTACAAGCAAAAGGCTAAAGTTCATTGGCTTCAAGAAGGTGACCTGAACACCATATTTTTTTCACCAGCGAGTTGAAGCAAATAAGAAGAGGAATACTATTAGAATTATCAAAGATGAGAATGAGGTGTTTTATGAATCTTTTGATGATATGGCTGCTGAACTTGTTAAGTTCTATAAGAACCTTATTGGCACTGCTGATCCATTAGTCAAGGGCTGTCCTGTTGAGAGTTTAAAACATTTGCTGAATTTTCCTTACCTGATGGAGCTGCTGATTCCCTTGTTGGTGGAGTTACTAATAAAGAGATTAAGGAAGCTCTCTTTAGGCAAGGTAAGGACAAAAGCCCTGGTCCTGATGGTTTTACTTCTTGGTTTTTCAAAGTATCTTGGGAGATTGTCAGCAAGGACTTTCTTGCAGCTATAAGGTATTTTTTCCAGTCAGCCTCTCTTTTGCCTACCTTTAATGCCACCACTATTGTTTCGGTACCTAAAACTTTAAATGCTTGTATGGCTAAGGACTTCAGGCCCATCTCCTGTTACTCAGTGATCTATAAAACTATCACTAGGATTTTGGTTACTAGGTTAGCCGTCTACTTTCCTAGTATGATTTCACTTAATCAATCAACGTTTGTTAAAAGCAGAAATATTGTTGATAATACTTTGCTTGCCCAGGAAATTGTTAGGGGGTACTCTAGGAAAAACCTTTCTCCTAGGTGCTCCATTAAAATAGATTTGCAAAAGGCTTTTGACTCAATCTGCTGGGATTTTTTGTTGGTTGTTCTTGAAGTTTTGGGGTTGCCTACTATTTTTTGTAGTTGGATTAAAGCATGTGTTACTACCCCTAGGTACTCTATTGCTCTAAATGGTACCTTGGTTGGGTACTTTGAGGGTGTTAGGGGGTCAGGCAAAGAGACCCTCTATCTCCATACCTATTTTTGATTGTGATGAATGTCCTTTCTTCTTTATTGAATATGGCTGCTAAGAATGGCATTTTTAAATATCACCCTAAGTGCAAGAGAACCTCCCGAACCCATCTATGCTTCGCTGATGATTTGCTCTTATTTTTCCATGGGTCATTGGATTCTGTGTTGGGGGTTGTTAGCATTTTAGAGAAATTTTATTAACTTTCTGGCCTTAGACTAATGCTATGAAATCTGAACATTTTTCTTGTGGCCTGCCTATGAATATTTTGGAGCAGATTCAATATGCTACTAATTTTAAAATTGGTCAGATTCCAGTTAGATATTTGGGAGTGCCTTTGGTCACTCATAAACTTACTAGTAAATATTGCTCAGCTCTTCTTGTTAGAATCAAAAACAGGATTGATCAATGGGCTAGTAGGAAGCTCAGTTTTGGGGGTAGACTACAGCTTGTAAAATCAGTTATGTTCAACATTTTTGGTTACTGGAGTAGGCATATTGTTTTGCCCAAGGGTGTTATTAGTGATATTGAAAAACTATGCATGCGGTTTTTCTGGAAGGGATGTGATATCCCAGCTCG